TATATATATATATATATAGGGAGAGAGAGAGACAGTGGAGGCATAGAAGTCAACACTGCATGTTTACTGTCAGTAATACACTTCAATGCGATCCTCAAACCAAACGCCACCCATCGGAATGAAACGTGAAACTGGCAAACATCATGCAGAGTTGGTTTCTTTGTGAAAGCAAAATTTGCCTACCTGATCACTATTGGCTGCTGTCACTTTCAAAGTAATCCTCTTGTGAAGTCATGCACTTCTTTGTGAGAGGACTGTGCCATTGCTGGAAATATTCTTGGATCTCATTTTCTAGAATACCTCTGGCACTGGTAGGAAATTGCAAGTATCTCACTGATGACGAAGTATCAATGTTTCTTATTATTGCTGGAAATATCCATGTCTATGGGAAAATTGAACCGAAGCTTCTGTATTTTTTATTTTATTTTCAGTTTCCTATTTTCTTTTTACTGATATTTCTGTCTCATTCATAATTAGTCATTATTTGATTTAGATTCACATTAGAACCCAAAGTAATTATCATTGCTTAATTAATTCATTTACTGGACCAATGAAATTAGCAGCAGAAATTGAACAAGTTGTAGTGATATGATTTGATAAATCTTTAAATTGCGTCCTGAGTATGACGATAAACTACGTCCAACAGCAAGGCCTCTGATCAGGAGGTTTTGAGGAGCGTGGAGCCACCTCTTAATTGCTGGTGTTTCCGAGTCCACCCTGAACCGGGGTGGTAGCACCTGTTAGGGTCCCAGCTATGGGCAAATGTCGGGGCCCCAGGGAGAAAAAGTTCGTCAGAGCAGTTGCCATGGAAATATTTGTAGAGAAGACAGAGGGAAGCCACGTCACGTCGGTGAGAAAGTGTCTGAAGTCGTGATGCCTGGCCAGGATCGATTACATTACAGGTCCTTCTTTGGATTTTGCCAAGAATCTCGAGATGTACAGCAGGAGCACCAGACCAGATATGGAAACAGTATTCAATGCCCAGGCGAATGGTAGTTTTATAAATGTGCAAGTCCGACGAGAAAAATTTTCTTTCACGATGCAGTGACATAAACTTTCCTTGCAGTAGATGCAGCTATTGATTCCATATAGACGCTCCGCCTCATGAGTCCAAGAAGGTTTCGTGTGTTGATTTAATTAATAAATCAAGAAAACATTTAAATATTAACCAGAACGTTACTGCAAAGAAGGAAAGAAGTACAGAACTTGATGAAGATATTCTTTGACTTAAAATGGGAAACCCGTTCAGTACTGTGATGTGTATAACAATTAATTCCAGAATGATTCTATGAAAGGAAAGTGTGCTTACCTGGTTATAACTGGCTGTTTTCCCCTTCAAAATATAACTATTGTAAAGCCCTGAAGCTCATGAGATGTGGGTTCTATTGCTGGAAAAATTCTTGGAACACATTTACTGGAATAATTTTTCACAGGTGGCTGAATCTCAAGGGTATCAATAAATTATTGTCCCTTTTAAGGCATTCTTCAAGTTTGGAAATAATAAAAATATCATGGTGGTGTCACGCCTGGTGAATAAGGTGGATTGTAATGAATTCATTTTAGTAATGAATTTCTCAGCCAGGTATACGGGAACTCATTATTTGTAGGAACATTGCCACAGTGGAGAATTTAGTTGTCAAGCAAGAATTTGAGTCTTTTCTTTCGAATGGGTTATAGTAACCATTTCTGCACTTCTTTATAAGTTCTATGAAGTGCCAATCAAAAACACTCGAATTATTCATAGTTCACCATAAACCATTCCGATAGACTTAATTCTTCTGACTTGCCGATTATAAAGAACAATAAAATTGGATGAGACAGAGAAATACGGGTATCTTTACAAGCAGTTCGCCTGGATGATGATGGTGTTTCACTTGCGCTTTTAATCTTCACACAAAACCTGATATTAATTCGCTGCTTCTGATTTTCTTCCCCCATTTTCCGCTAACGGTTTAACATGAACCCGTGCAACATCATCTAGTTGTTAGCTACGAATGACTCTTCTAGCACGCGTTTCAATGTAAGCGTATGCGGGTGCATATCCGGACATACCCGGGTACGAATCGTTGCGTTCGTCTGTTAATTAGATTTTCACACTACGTAATTGAATGTGCGATATCTGCTGAATACGGCGACAGAGTGAACATTTCTCATCCAAACTGCAACAATTTTGGTTAGTCGATAAAGAAACATGAGGTCGTATAGTTTGTCAAAATATTTTATATTGATGCTATTATGCATTCTTTCTATGAACTGATCCTGAAAACATTTCGTTAATAACAAAGATAAGCCGCTTCATGGCCAATACTCTGCCCGTACCAAACAAGCTGACGTAGAAAAAATCCGTACCCATCAGTGGCTACATAGTGCAGGATTGAAAGCTAAAACTGAAGGTTTTATCCTTGCTACACAGGACCAATGCTTGCTAACTAGGAGATTCTGTGATAAATATCCAGAAACAATTGATCATCTTGTATCAGGTTGCACGATATTGACACCCACTGAATATAAAACCTGGTATGACAGAGTGGGCCAATATCTGCACTGGAAAATCTGCAACTTTTCTGGGAAGAAAACTGAAAGAAACTGGTATGAACACCACCCAGACCCGGTTACGGAGATAGGACCTGTTACAATTCTATGGGACAACAAAATACACACTGACAAAACAATCAAAGCCAACCGCTAAGACATTGTTATTAAAGACCACAAACAAAAAAGTGCCTCCTTATTGATATGGCAGTCCCTGCTGACTGCAATGTATCTTTGAAGATATTCAAAAAGCTGTCAAAATACAAAGACCTTGAAATAGAAATCTCGAAAATGTGGCATATGGGGAACATCAACAATTCCTGTTGTAGTTGGAGCCCTAGGACTGGTTGGAAAAGATTCCAGTAGACTAATTGATGGGATTCCTGGAAGTCCATGCCTCAAAGAAATACAAAAAATTGTTCTGATAAGTATAGCCCACACTTTACGAAGGGCTTTATCTATGTAATTTTTTTTTTTTTTTGTCAGTGGAAAGTGTCATGATGCCATTTCTAACCTTAGGTCCCTGGGCGGGACCCGGAAAGAAATGAATAAACGCCAGAAATAAAAGATAATAATAATAATAATAATAATAATAATAATAATAATAATAATAATAATGGTGTTGGCACCCACTGAATATAAAACCCGACATGACAGAGTGGGCCAATATCTGCACTGGAAAATCTGAAACTTCTACGGGAAGAAAACTGAAAGAAACTGGTATGAACACCACCCAGACCCGGTTACGGAGATAGGACCTGTTACAATTCTATGGGACTACACAAAACACACTCACAGAACAATCAAGACCAACCGCCCAGATATTGTTATTAAAGACCACAAACAAAAACGGTGCATCCTTATTGATATGGCAGTCCCTGCCGACTGCAATGTATCTTTGAAGATATTCAAAAAGTTGTCAAAGTACAAGGAACTTGAAATAGAAATCGCGAAAATGTGGCATATGGGAACATCAACAATCCCTGTTGTAGTTGGAGCTCTAGGACTGGTTGGAAAAGATTCCAGTAGACTAATTGAAGGGATTCCTGGAAGTCCATGCCTCAAGGAGATACAGAAAATTGTTCTGACAAGTACAGCCCACACCTTACGAAGGGCTTTATCTATGTAATTTTTTTTTTTTTTGTCAGTGGAAAGTGTCATGACGCCATTTCTAACCTTAGGTCCCTGGGCGGGACCCGGAAAGAAATGTGTAAACGCCAGAAATCAAAGAAAATAAAAAGAATACTAATAATAATATCAAAAGTAAAGGCCAAAAATATTCAACAAAAAGCAAAAAATAAGGGTCTAATTAATCTGAAAAGCAAGTGGGAAGAAAAACCTTAACACAACTGATAGCCATTACGATCCGAAGACACTGATGTTGAATGCCATCTGACCCATCAGTGCTTACAGAGGTCTGGGTTGAAACTAGAAAAAGAGGGATTAATCTCTGTTACTTTCTCTGTTCCCTGTCTTCTGTTCTATTTCTCATTTTCGCTCTCTTTTTTCCTCTTTTTCACTCTTTTTCTCACTTCTTGCCTCTCTCTCTCTCTCTCTTTCTCTCTTTCTCTCTTCTGATAGAAATTTGACACTTTTTTTAGCGGGGGTGGGAGTAAGCAAACAACAAAATGAAAAAAAAGAAAGAAAGTAACCTGACTAACATGGACGGAAGGAAATGGGTGAATACGAAACGGAAAACACAAATTGTTTTGCCTTAAAACCCATCCGGGTAATTAGTCCTTCATTAAAATTAATTTTCCGTGCCAGGCTGTTAATGAAAAAACCCTGAATTTTCATTCCAGCCACCCTTTTAGACATAAACTAGCAAACGATCGTATATTTGGTGCCACGTTCCAAACGTAAACAAGCATTTGCATGCACATATACATCTATTGTGTGACATTTACTTACCTTCTTATGTGTAACTAGAAACAACTTCTCTCTCTCTCACTCACTCTTACTCTCTCTCTCTCTCTTTATATATATATATATATATATATATATGTGTGTGTGTGTGTGTATATATATATATGTTGTTTATATATGTGTGTGTGTTTGTGTGTTTCATTAAAAATGAGTGACAAGATATTTCTGTTATTTTTTGCCGTGTAATTTTGTTATCTGCTAACAAGAGATGTCATGAAAAATACAACAAAACCTTTTGTTATTGGTGTTGGAAGTTTAATGTTATTAATATTTTTTATAATAAATGATAAATCGTGAGTATTTATTACAAGAATTAAGTGACATGCATCGATATACTTTTTAAAATTGTTTTTATAATTTGGGGATATCTGGCTACAAAAATGAATGTTGTTTTATCAGGACTATTTCGGTTCATTTTGTAAAATAATTATTTTTAAAGTTAATTTTATTCACTCGTAGACCATATGGTTTGGGAAAGAATTGTTAATATATGCTTATTCAGTTCTTTCCAAAATAATATGTAAAGGAGTAGTTACTGTAGCATGGTCGATCATATTGTTAATAACGGTTATTTTATATGTGAGGACATTCACTTTGTTAATCAAGTTGATTTTCCTGGAGGGTTTTTATATAAGGAAAAAAGTAAAATTGTGACTATGATAGTCTGCTAAAATACCAATGTGGGCGTGGAACACAGAAGTTGGTGAGCCGAGTTCGAATTCCGGTCGAATGGGTACATTCACTTTCGCAAAAAATTCCCTTGGGGAATGTTTGAATCCATCTCTTCCCACCTGTAGTTATGGGTTAAATAGTAACACAGACTCAGCTCTTTAGCCGTGGTTGATAACTAGTCTAGGAGAAGGAAACTCTTTGAATACCAGACCGTATGTAGCTCTTGCAAAGCACATTCTATCCAGCCAACGAAAAGATCGTGGGGTTCACAATGATAGCATGATTCTGACTGCAAAACAACGAGGAGAGGAATTCTAGTATTAATATTAATTTCATACGTAATGCGTAGGACAGTTTTTCTCAAAGGTTTCTTTAATGAAAAAAAAATTACGTCTCTGTTCTTCCGTAATATGTATATATTAGAAATACCCGTGAAAATTTCACGGTTTTTCTATTGAAATTATTGATGAATCTTAATTCTTAAGTTAATGATTGAATAAGCTCATGACGAATTCTGTGACAAAAAATATCCCTGGATATTCCTCCAACACATCATTAAATATTTGAGTTAACAAATTTAACAAAATATTGTAATAACTGTCATAATATTTTGTATGAATGCTGGTGGTCATTTTAAGAACTAGTTTTAAAGGTAATTACGGTGGGATCAGTTGGTTTCGGAAGTGATATACAGGGTTAGGTTAGGGATTTGCGAAATAGGTTGTACGTGGAAGTCATCTAGGCTTACATACACGCCCACACGATGCAGCAACAATTTTATAGTTATTAAATGATTTGCCTATGAGCACAAGATTTACCCTCATCTATGGAAGGTGCTCGGAGCAACTACATTCCCGGTGTGGTCAATTCAAACCTTCACGACAAAGACACGCTATGCCACTTACACAGTAATTAACCACTCACATTCTCTCCGTATTTCAACGGTGAGAAGTTTCACTCTAACAGATTCTTCCATCAAACCACTGCTCTGAGGAGCCGACTCCAAAAAGGATGTCGATACCCGATCATTACAATCATAACCTATTCAAGCCTAGGGTCAACCGTTATCTTTCACTCTTAACGTAACCCTCTAACTCGAGTGGCCTCCGGGCCTTGTAAAGAGTGAACCTTAGTGTGAAAGAAAAAAATTCAAATTTCCAATGTTTACTATACATAAAGGGTGTTCCAATAACGATTTTAAATGTGAATTAAGTTTAAGCGTCTAATGATTTTTTTTCTTTTTCTTTCAGATTTGGCGGACATTTGGGCGATATTATTTTTCACACATAACTGCCATGACTTAAATAACATAATCCAATAAAAAATAAATAAATTTTCACCAATAACACTGATTTATTTACTGCTGAATTTGATCCGTCTTAATGAAACACCCTTATATATACTCCGTCTTAATGAAACACCGTTTATAAGATAACAATCGTTGCTTCATAGAACTCACGCATACTTTTCAAATACCTGAATTTTTTTGCCACATACGCATGTTTACATATGATGACAAATATTAATTAACTACGTAAGGAATACACACATCACGTTGAATCTACATAGGGTAACTTTAGTTTTGTATTCGAAGCATAACCAGTAATTTCTAAATTGTTTATTTTATTATTCCGGTTTATTTCCTATGACTATAAACGTTATTTTCATTGTGCAGACGTGTTTGGTTTGGCATCCTTGTTTTTTAATTTCTTAAAACAGTGAAATTAATGTCAACCAGACTAGATCGAGAATTCTTACTTTAGAAAATGTGCCTCTGTCTCAACAGAAATCAAGCCTTTTCAACAGGAAATGTGCCTTTATCACGGAAAACCATAATAATTAGTTATTTTAACAGAAGAAAAATGGCGGATTAAAAAGGAAACACGAGAGGGGAAAACTGGATTAGGAAATCACAACAGAAAGAGAGATCCCCATTTTAACATAGAGCTAAAGGGATCAATTAGAAAAGATCCAACTCAATCTATAAGACGTTTGGCACACGAGAGAGGAGTTTCAGCTATGACAGTCCAAAGAGCAGTGAAAATCGGTTTGAAAATGAAGTCGTATGTGAAGCCTGTGAGGTAACTTTTTACTCCAGAACAGAAAGTTAGAAGGTTAGAGAGGGCGAAGATCATCCTAAATAAGTTTGAAAATGATTCTAAAATAATATATATATATATATATATATATATATATATATATATATATGAACTTTATTTAAATCTTTCATGACCTTCCGATCCTTAGGTATGATTAATTAACGATGAACGTGTCATTTTCTTTATGATCGATTTCATGACAATTATTCTGTTAAGCATGTAATTATACATTCTTATTGCTCAATGTAGAGTCTAATATTGTTATAAAAACTTCGGAAAATTCCAGTAAGATATCTTTAATCATTTCTAAGATACAACGGTTCAAAGCCTAATCTAACAATTGGACAATTTTGCTGTTACACCATATATATATATATATATATATATATATATATATATATGTGTGTGTGTGTGTGTGTGTGTGTGTGTGTGGAGGTGGGGATTAACTCTAAAGAAAACCGATATCGAAGGTTTAAAATACATTTTCAAAGATGAAAAATCTTTGTTGAAGCTTTTATTTTAGTTTTAATTTCAAACTAATAGATTAAATTTTCTATAGGCTGTATTTCAAACCGATTTTCAATTGATTCGAATTTTTTTTTTTAATCTTCAAAATTGCTAAAAATCAGTGATATTACCGAACACAATTCTCATTTTCAAAAAAAAAAAAAAAAAAAACTTTTCTGAAAATTTATTTGAGGAAGATTAGCTGATTTAAAGTTTAATTAATCTGATTTGAGAGACACTGCTTTTTGTTTAAAATATCTCAGAAAAGTATTTTTAACACGGAGGTGGGTGTTTTTATGTGGGTTTGATAGACTTATGTTTGGGAATTTTTCTACGGAAGATTTAACTGTAAAAATTACTTGACGAATATAATGTGAGCGCTTTTTAAGTTTAACTATCCAGTAGTCTTACAAATTTAGGAAAATATTCTAAGTAATCTAATATTTTTTTAAATACTTTGGTTTTATAGTTTTGCTTACGAAGACGCTTGTAGAGGAAATATCAGAAAATCAATAGATTTTAAACTTACTATAGTAACAGCTCTTATTTTCTGATAATGTGAATGATTGCCCGTATTTACAAAAATCGACACGTTTGTACACACAAAAAATTCAAAATTGTTTTTAAAATACTGGTGGTCGATGAATTGTAGCAACCTTCTACCTTTATGATTAGTAAATATAGTTTTTACATAACAATCATGTCACCAAACCGCTACAAATTAATGCAGAATTTTAAAAGATAGAAAACTTTATAAATTATTCTAATTAAAATTTAAAAATTGAAAAAACAATTCTTGTAAAAATTCAGCAAAATTTCTTATTTTCTTAAGACATAATATATCTTATTTTCTTAAAAAATAATATTTCTTATTATACTAAGGCAATTGAAACTTTTCTGATCAATTAATGTCTTAGTTGTATTGCATTTTTTAATTTAGGATTCAACGCAGATTTTCTTTAAGTGGGGGTAAAGTTTTACGAAAAGAAATTGATTATTTAAATTCTCCAACTACTTGTACTTATAACTAATAAAACATTGAATGTTACAAGGACGATTTCTTCAAAATTTAATAAAATTAAATAAGTGGGAATTAACGGAGGTAAAAAAATTTTCAAAATTTTCTGCAAACGAAAAATTTTTGAAATAATTACATTCCTTTGTAATTAAATCCTGAAAGTTTCATTAAAATTCAATAGTTGTTTGATTTTTGCAAGAATTTCTACTAGACGCTAATATTCCCCATGCTAATTTATGGTCACGCGCTGAAGCAAAAAAATAAAATAAAATAAATAAATAAAATAAATAAATAAAAATAAAATAAAATAAAGAAATAAAATAACCAACATTTTGAACGTCATATTAAAAAAATATAATTTAGTAATCAAAAAATCATTTGATCTTTCCTCTTCTTAATAATAACAAATATTTTTTACGATAATTTTTTTTTTTTTTATTAATTTGGGTGCATTTTTGCATTATGTATGCTCATTTTTTACCGAATCTTTGGAGGTAATCTCCCTATATAAATATATATGTATACACACACACACGCATATATATATATATATATATATATATATATGTGTGTGTGTGTGTGTGT